CCTTCCCCTCATCGACCTTCGCTGCTGCATCCGCCAAGGTTGCAATCGCCCCCGAGGTTTGATGCAGCTTCGCTCTCTTGCGACGTCTTCTCTCGGCTCCACTCAGTCTGACCCGATTCACATCGGTACCAGACTGGTCAGCCTTGTCAGACTTGTTGTGTTCGCTATCGCTGGCCCCACCCGAAGTTACTTTTTCAGTATTCAGATTTTTTAGATTGGTTTCCATTTTGGTCCCACGAGTACTGCGCTTAAGCGTTTTCACCTCGTGCATTGCCGCGATTGCCCAGGGCTTGGCTTGTCTCGGGTGGGTTACACCCAAAACTACTCTCAGAGGTCGCCCAGGTTTCTGAGAGGCACCGTTAGCGACACAGCTCCCCCTGTGCCACGCATCCTTAGGCACGGTATGGCCGAGTCCATGGCTTACGCCGCTCACACACATGGATTGGGTGGGCTTCTCTTAGCGACCGCGGGCGGCGGTAGTCCTTAAGACCTCCACCGCCCGCGACCGAGCCCCCTCACTGACGACAAAATGGGAACGGAGGGGGTATTAATAATAACTAATTAATTTTTATTTTTATTGGTTATTATAATATCATAATTGTTATGATAATTATTATTATATTTTCATTTTTTGATCAATAAAATAAAAATAAAAATTCAGTATTTTTATTTTATCAATGTCGAGTCTAACAAATGATGTCCGGAGTAGGCGCGTGGTGGTGGAAGGTGAATACTGTCGCATTCCCCGAATTCACTTCCCCAACAGCCCCTTGAGGGTAATTTTAACGGGTCTACTGTATTCTGCTTCTATCATTATTCATCAGTGAAATGAAGGAAGTTCGATAATAATGACGCGGAGGTGTTCTTTGTTCATGAAAGCGCGACACTTCCTTCAAATATTCAATTAATAATAATATACATCTACTCTTATTTCCACTTAATCCAAGCAAATCATTGATACCATTTTGAAGTTCCCTCTCCACCGCGTCTGTATCTGGTCACTTGCAATTGCTGCGACCTCTAAGATTTATTTGAAATTTTCGGTTTAGGCCACATATCCTCCGTACACAGTTCGACCTCCTTTCCTCTATTCTTTATGGATAACAATTAAGGGCCATAAATAGATCATGAAGCACTTAGATATCCAGCCATATTTTATGGCTTTTTAACATATTCAGTTAGGACATCGGCAACTGTGGCTATCTGCGTCAAACGATCATTAAATTCTACTGCGAAAATCGAAGTGATAAATATAGAAAAATTAACCCGCAATTATCCATTCACGTTTCGTAAAAAAAAGAATCAATTAATCTATCCTTTCTTCATTATTGTTTACAGAAAGGGTTGAAGAATGTATTCGACGAAGCAATATTGGCAGCACTGGAGCCACCAGAAGTCGTCAGAAGAAGGAAGTGTGTCGTCTTGTAGGGTGTTTACTTAGACTGCTGTTGAACTCCCATAAATAAACATACAAAAAATGCATTAAAAAACACAATTGGCTCGTGCATACCTGCCAAAAAACACTGTAAGTCTCAATAATGCATTGCACATTACGAATTGATTAAGCAGTTGAAGAAAACAAACACATGATGGAAAAAAGACATTGATATGTATGAAGTATGCGATGCCCAGATCATCATAGTTATGTATAAATACAATTTTTCGACATTTCCTTGAAAAACTCAAATTTATTCAGTTTCTTATGATCATAAAAAGTTTCTCTTCATCCTTCCTGGCCTCCGTGAATCTTTAGAAAGTCACGTGAATTTAAAAGATTGTGCCATATCTACCTCAACGTGCACGTATGGGCTGGGAAAAATTCGGAATTATCATTCAAATTTTTCATTTCAAAGTTTGATTTTGCTCCTCACAAAGAGATAAATCCATAAAAATCGTGTCATTTGGTCAAGAGGCATCAAAGATTTGGCAAAGTTTTTATTCCATTTGTTTTACTCCTCATCGCCTTTTATGTCATTCAATCGTAACAATAACGTCAATTCCAAATCATGTTCTACCGTTGTATGGGTAATAAAAATGAAATTCATGGAAGAATGAAGAAAAGGATAGTTTTTTCTAAATTGAGGAATTAATTTGCGCGATTGAGTTGTTTTCTCATTTAACACGTGGAATAGAAACTTGACATGAAACGTTTTTTTATAAGGCGATAACGTAATTTGAATCACACGCATTGTCGATTATTACTGAAATCCTTATTACGGATTGCATAAAACGAGGGAATGTATAAAAAACATGCAGAAAAAAAATTAGATTAGAGACAAGAAAAAAGCGGATTGAAAAACAAAAACATACTATTTCTGGGAGTAATTTTCCAATCACTTCGATATATTTAATAAATAAATAAGGCATTTTTAATCATAAGTTGCTAATGTGAATTTTTTAATAAATTGGTCTTCGAAAAATTGGAAATGCATTCTATATTTCTTTAGAAGAGTTCTTCTCTCTGTTGGCTTCCGAATGGAGGCTCTGTAAACGTGATTTTTTTCAGTTTCCTAATTTTTGGTGGAGATGCCTAGAAATGTCATGAAATATGAAGAAATGATATTGTAGCGTGTGTCCCCTTCCCCTCATTCGTATTGTAAAAAAAATTAAAGATAAGTTCCCCCGGCAACAAGAGAACACAGGCAGAAATCATCACAGAGATCGGTGAGTCCATCCGCCGTGATCTAGAAAAATATCGTAGGATTGAGAGAGAGGAACGCCTCAACCTCTCAAGATCAGACGTACCTGCACTACATCATCACGTTCTTGTAAATGTTTCTCACTGTGATGGTCAACGCCAACCCCCGAACACCCAGACCCCCCCCCTGTCGGAATTGAGGTTGTTGAGGGATGTAACAATTCACCAACAAATGTAATTAGTATTTGAATTACAGTTTAATCAAGACGTTTAGAATATATATACAAAAGAGAAAGAATAATCAAAGTGATCTGATCGGAGGTCAGTGTTAGACTCTACTGACTATAATAAATCGCGTAGGATGGGAATTTGGATACGCGTGACAATAGGTGCGAGCGAGAGGTATTTTATACTGGGCGCGTGACAGAGCGCGATGATGTCACCGATGTCCAGTTGTCTCTCAGTGTTGTCGTATCCGTGCGTGTGTTACGCGTTGGTGTGTGTGTAGCGAGACGCTACATGACTCCCCTGTTTAAGTGAAAAAAAGGTAGTTTTTCAGCACTGCAATAGAAAAAGCTTAATCTCGGAACAGGTGAAATGTAATAAGCAGGTGAAAATGAAAAAATTTTTGATGAGGAAATTTAGACAGTATATACGTGGATTGTCGGTCTGTTCGCGAAGTTTACGCGTCTCCTCGGCCTCTGAGTCCTGTTCGCCATGCTCGTGCTCGGCTGCGGCTGATTCTGTTGTTGTTGAGGTTCTTCTGGTACGTCTGGCGGTGGAGGCTGTCCTTGGACCTGGTCCATGTCCTTCGGCAGTACGTACGCTGATTTCAGTCGGTCGATGGAGATCGGTGTACTCTTGTAGTTACCCAATTCTCCGGACATGTACCAAATGACGAAGTATTTGTCATAACGACTGATTACGCGGCATGGGCCGATGTATGGTGATCGGTATGCCACTCGCACGTGGTCATCGCGGACAAAAACATGTGTACACGTCGCTAGATCGTTGAAGATGAAAGTTGAACGTGTACCGTGACGTGCAGCGGGAGTCGGTGAGATACTGCGGAAATGCTCGCGTAAATTTCTCACCAATTCTGGTGCTGCTGCTTGTTGGTTCGATGGGATGAGGAATTCTCCGGGTAGACGGATCGGTTCCCCGTATGTTAGCTCGGCGGGAGTCGTTTGAAGGTCCTCTTTCCACGCGGATCTCAACCCTAGAAGTACCAGGGGAAGTGCGTCGTACCAAGCTTCGACATGACATCGCAGTGCTGCTTTCAGTTGGCGATGTATTCTCTCAATCATGCCGTTTGATTGAGGATGAAATGGCATCGTCATCAACCTCTTGGTGCCCAGAATTCGCGTAAGCTCCTTGAAGGTGTCTGAGAAGAATTGACCGCCCTGGTCAGATGTAATTCTCAGGGGGATGCCGAATCGCGCGATCCAGTGATAAAGAATCGCGTTGACTACTGTTGGCATCCTCTAGTCGATCAGTGGAACTGCTGCTGGGTATTGCGTAAATCTGTCGACGATGGTCAGGCACCAGCTGTGTCCTTTTGAGGCAGGAAGAGAGACTAAATCGACGTGTATGTGTTCGAATCGTCGTGGTGGTGTCTCGATGTTAACTATTGATTTGACCGTGTGTCGCGTTATCTTGTTTTTCTGACACTCCAGGCAGTCCATTGGGCACAGTCTTTGTTTATGCCAGGCCACACGTAGCGTTGTGTCACGAGTTTCCGCGTGCCTTTGGGTCCAGGATGAGCCATTGAGTGCAGTGAGCTGCAGACCTGTTGTCTCAGCGGAGCAAGAACGTATGGGCGAACTGTACCTGATGATACATCACAGTACAGTGGTTTGTCCATTCCTAGGAGTTGTAAGCGGTCCAGTCGCAGGTTCACGTCCTGTCGCTGGAGTAATTGTCGGAGTTCTTGATCGTCGCGTTGGGCATCTACCAGCTGCTGAGGTGTGACGGCCGTCGTGATTTCCTCTACTCGTAATAGGGCGCCTGCCACGACGTTGTCTGGGCCCGCGACGTATCTGATGTCCGTGGAAAACTGTGATGTAGTCCAGTCTCCTGTAGTGCCAGGGTGGAGCTCGTTCCGGTTTCTGTTAGAACGCGTCAGTCAGCGGTTTGTGATCGGTGAAAATTATCACATGTTGTCCTTCAAAGATGTGCCTGATGTGCAGTACTGCCTCGTAGATTGCTTGCAATTCTCTGTCGTAAGCCGCGTGTTTCTGCGAAGAAATTCCAAGTTTCTTGCTGAAGAAGGCTAACGGCTACCAGGAACCGTGGTGTTCCTGCTGTAGAACGGCGCCGATCGCGTGATCCGACGCGTCTGTGAAGATAGCCCACTCTGCCTCGATATTTGGATGAGACAACAGAGTGGCTTCTGCTAGCGCTTGCTTGCTGCGCGTGAATGCTTCTTCAAGGGCTGGAGACCAGGCTACTGGTTGCTTTCTCTTGACGTTCGTCCCTTGAGTCGCGGCGTTCAGCGGGGCGAGGATTTCTGCTGCTCCCTTGATGAACTTCCGGTAGAAATTTAGAGTTCCGAGCTATCTGCGTAGCGATTTAACCGTTGTTGGCCTTGTGAGCTCCAGGATCGCGTTGACACGATCCTGGGGGGGTTTAATTCCTTGAACGTTGATCACGTGTCCGAAGAAAAGTACCTCTGGCTGTCCGAGGACTGATTTGGCGACGTTGATTATCAGCCTGTAGTCCTGGAGTCGTTGGAAGAGGATCCTCAGGTGCTCGCGATGTTGCTCCGCGTTTTCCGATGCTACCAAGATGTCTATGTATGGGAACAAAAATGGTAGATAGCGTGTGACCTCGTCGATCAGACGTTGGAATGTCTGAGCTGCGTTTCTGAGGCCAAATGTCATGTATGGAAATTCGAAGAGTCCAAATGGCGTGATTATTGCCGTTTTCTGGATGTCTTCGCGTGCCACTGGAATTTGGTTGAAGGCTTTAACCAAATCTATGGTGGAAAAGATTGTTTTGCCATGAAGTTTGGCAGCAAAATCTTCTAAATAACGAACAGGATACTTATCTGGTATTGTCCTGTCGTTGAGTGCGCGGTAATCACCGCATGGCCTCCATCCGTTGTTGCCTTTAGGGGTTAGGTAGGGGGAGTGCGGATGCCCAGGGACTTTCAGATCTCCTTGCGGTTCCGAGCGTCAGCATGCTAGAGAACTCCGCTTAAGCGGTTTTGAGTTTATCCGGCGCTAGGCGGCGAGCTCTGCAGGAGATTGGTGGTCCTGGTGTTGTCCTTATGTGATGAACGGTGAAGTGCTCCGCTTTGCTGAGCAATCCTCTCGGTTTTGTTATTGCTGGGAACTCTTTGAGGATCGACGCTTACGGTGAATTCTCGTTGATCTCAAGGAGCTTGACAGACGTCGCGCGGAATCGCGCGAACTGGCCATTCTATTGGAGGCCTGTCGCGCTGTCGATGATTGCTCGGTTTCTCAAGTCCGGTAGCAGACTGAAGTGATGCAGGAAGTCAGCACCGATGATGGGTTTACTGACGTCTGCTTCGATGAATCGCCATGTGAAATCTCTGCAGAGACCGAGATCTGGCGAGATGGAGACGTGGCCGTACGTGTCAATGAGGGTGCCGCGAAGAGTTTATAGCCACTGGTCTCCCTTTTGCTTGGTGGCCGCCTGCAAGGCGTGACAGAGACGTCTGAGCCTGTGTCCACTAGGTATTGGGTCCCAGTCGTCCTGTCGGTAATAAATAGGCGGCGGGATTGTGATTGAGAGACGACTTCCACCACTATTGTCTCTCCGGCGTTTCCCTGAAACTTACAACCAGGTCGACAGTTACGCACATTATCAGCATACTTGTAGTGATACCAGCAGGTGTCAAAATCCTTTGATACTTTCCTCGAGCTGAAGCGTCGGTGCGAGTGGCTACAGTGACCCTGTGAGCCGTCTCGACGTGTTCGTGAACGAGACCGTGGGTCGCGCGTTTGCATGGCGGCAACGGCCGCCGTCAGCTGCTCAATTCGCTCGAGGAGCGCCGTGTTCACTGCGTTGGCTGACGAGCTGGTGATTGCTGCGACGCTGTTCGGGTTAAATACCTCATGCACCCTGTCTGCTAGCTTCGCAAGATCATCAATGGAAGCGTTCTCCTAGGTGGCGAGTGTAGCTCGCGTCTGATCGGGGAGATGAGACAACCAGTGCGTTTTCAGGACCTCGTCGTCAATGCGTGGAACAAGACTTTTTAAATGTCTCAGGTGCTTCGACGGAGTTCGATTCCCAATGCTCTCCCTGTCGAGCAATTGGATGATGTTCGCAGTCCTGGATTTTGTGAAACATCTGATTAGTTCGTTTTTTAAAGTTTGGTATGGATTTGTTACAGGTCTGGAGACAATTAAATGTTCGACTTCTGCGGCGTAACCAGTGTCGATCAGCGGTACCGTTTTGTTGTACTTATCTGACTCGGTGACGTATCCCAGGTCAGCGAACTGTGTCTCCAGTTGCGCGAACCATAGCGCGGATTTGTCCGCGTCGAACGGCCATGCGATGAGCTTGGGCATCACTGTAGCCGTTGCTGTCGTTACGGTGGGAGTTGTTTGGATGTCAGCTGCTGTTGTTACCATGTTGATTTTATTTTATTTTATTTCAGAGAGAAATAAAATCGATGAATTTTACTTCACAGCGCGATTAAGCTTAAGGAATAAATTTGTGAGAAAAATAAAAGCTGTTGTATTCTCTATTTGTCACCAACACAACACAACGTCTATGGGTGTTCGGCAATGTGTCGGCGCGAGGTCACAAATATTCACTCGGATAAGAACGCGTGAACGAGAAAATGAATTTTTCAGTTGCACTGCACGCGCGCGAGACGCGAGGGTTTTCCCTTTTGTCATTTGAAACGTCGAATTTTCCTAATTATATCACGTCGGGGTCACCAATGTAGGAATTGAGGTTGTTGAGGAATGTAAGAATTCACTAACACATGTAATTAGTATTTAAATTACAGTTTAATCAAGACGTTTAGAATATATATACAAAAGAGAAAGAATAATCAAAGTGATCTGATCGGAGGTCAGTGTTAGACTCTACTGACTATAATAAATCGCGTAAGACGTGAATTTGGATACGCGTGACAATAGGTGCGAGCGAGAGGTATTTTATACTGGGCGCGTGATAGAGCGCGATGATGTCACCGATGTCCAGTTGTCTCTCAGCGTTGGGCGTATCCGTGCGTGTGTTACGCATTGGTGTGTGTGTCGCGAGACGCTACACCCCCGCACACACGGAAATGACAGTGCCTGCTGCTAGACTTATAGATAAGCCTTTTAATCTTACTTCTATCAATCCTACTAACGCTGTCGCTTCTGCTTCCACTTTACAATCCTTGACTTTGTGACATCGCGGTTGTCAATGGCGTAAATTAGATTTTTTTGAGTCGCCAAAAGTTTAGAAGGTCGAGAGTGAAAAATTTAGAGACAAAAAATAAATTACTTTGAGCAAAACCTGAGTCTCGGCGGGAGCTTACACTCCCCTCCATGGGAAAACATGGAGCCCAAGGGTAACGGTGACAATCATTATCACCCAACTAACACCCTTCAATTTTGCCACTGAGGATATCGCGGTTAAGGCTAAGTAGAAAAAGGAGGACCCTGAGAAGAATGTCTTGGGGTCGAGACACCGGGGTTCGAGGATTGGACACCCACGTACCCATCCCATAGCTTCGGAGATGACCGAGATTCGACGAGCCCATCCGGGCCTCGATCTTCCCCGGGCGGAGTACGAGGATCCAACAGGAACAGCGTGGGTCGACGGAAAGATTAAATGGAGCCGAGCGACGACGGGGTCGGGATGGAATGAAACTGAATTGAAGGAGAATTCAACAATTGGGAGCAATGGTTTAGGGTCCGCAGCGCCAAAACGACGAAAACGCGAGTGTATTTTCCCCCTCTCCCATTAACTTTTCGACAGGAGGATCGATGCGTCATTAGCACGATCTCGCAGTTCACCCCGAGCCAGGATCTGCGATATAGCTATTGAGAGTCAGCCTGATTGGCTTACATCATCTCGAGCGTCTGAGTTTTGGTGGCCTTCGAGCTGTTGAGAAGGAGGTTGGCCCTTTTGGGCTGTGGCAAGGGGTTGGCCTTTTGGGCCGTTTGAAGATTTTGGGAGGACTGGAGACCAAGGCAGGACCCTGAACCAGCGGCTCAGCTAAATATTCGTTCCTGATCAAAATTTTGGCGTCGTGGTGTTCAACCGGCCTTGTGCCATCCTGTAAATTCTATCTACTTTGTAAAATTTGATTTAGTTCTTTTGGACTATACTGAGATTGTTTCGGGCTGGATTTTGAGAGCGATATTGTGTGTATGGAGGCTGGGACTCCGTTAAAAATTGAATTTTCATCTTTGTCATAGAGAGTAGACCGTAAATTCGGTTATCAAATACGCGACCGTACAATTTAACTTTATTGTACGCGGGACCCACGGGTCCATAAATTTTTGCTATC